CCATCCTGTGAGATGATCAAATTTCTTTCCGTTATTCGATCATGTCTTTTAATCGAGTTTTTCGTTACTTGATTTCGAATGTTTTTGGGATGGAGACCACTACTTCTATCGATCACGCCTTGCACCTGCAGATCGAACGTAATTCTTTAAGCAACTTCCTACTGTGCAAACTCCAACTGTTTTGTGCCAAAGCATCTTGAGTTTGGGGGGAGTGTTAGGATATGGATATCTCTGGTTCATATTGATGTACATCATTATGGATGTATGGGTATATATCTCTTGATATGATTAGGTATCTAGAAGATAAGAAGAGACCAAGTCAAAGTTCTTTAGTCATTAAGTTAGTTTGATGATAAGGCCTCCTACTATTTACCTGTATCTCCAAGAATCATACCATATTTATCTCTTGTAATTGTGTGATTGTCCTCTATATATAGATGTACTTATTGATGTAAACATTCATCCAAAATAGTGAAGATGTAGCCAATTGAGCCTTGAATCCGTAGACGTAAGGCTTCGGCCTGAACCCCATAATGTTGTGTTATCTCTTTTTCTCTCTCCATTCTCCATTATACTCCCACGAATTCTAACATTTAATAGAGGATTGGACGTCAAAACTTTGGTATCAAAATAGTTTATAGGAAAAAATTTAAAATAAAATAGTGTAGAGACGTGACATTGTGATTGGGACAATCTTAGCCCTCCATTCAGAATGGACGGTTGGATAAAGGGGAAGTATATAAGTTTTATGCTGTAGGAAAAACCTAGAAAGCTTGCCCCCATATTGATGATTATGGGGAGAGCTCTTTGGCATATGTTAAAATTTCCCCACTAGATTGGGAAATTTAATTCAGTCAACTCACTTTGTAATTAAATAACAAAGCATCAAACTAAAAGAAAATAAAACATGAAAGGCGTGGATATGGTCCACGTCGTGTAGCACGTTCGGCTATGATACACAATTTTAGCCCTTTCACTGGAAATAGAGTTTAGTTGGTTGTTTCATAGATTTTTTTTTGTTTTGTACCTCTATAAATGGTACAAACCATGAGAAGTGAAATGCATGGTGCAAAAAAGAAATTAAAAAATGAAATAATTTATATAAGGTTGTAATTTTAAAATATAGAAATAAAGATGCACCTCAAAAATCCATTGAAAATGGTAGTTTTAATGTTGAAAAACTCTCTAATTGATCATCTCGACATCGAGATGTATGAATATGAAAAGAAAAAAAGATTTTGAGTCTAAGAGATAGTGCATCTTGCAACGTTATCTACACCGTCCATTTTCAACTTTTTTATATATTTATAGATCTACTTTATTTTAACCATTTTTGAAGTTTAAAATTTATAATTAGATATCAAAATAGATTTTGAGATAATCTTAAGATTTTTTTACATGAAAATTACATGTTATGATAAAATTTGGAGGTACGCCTTAATTGGATTGTTTAAAGTTACAACCTTATAGAAACCACACCTTTTAAAAAATGTTGTATAAAGTGTCAAGGCGCACTTTTAGAGCTCGTCAAAAGATGTAATTTTGGTGTGGAAAATTTCAATGATGACCTAAAAGTCTACTTCACATCTAATTATGAAATTTAAAACTCAAAAAGTGGTAAGGATCAAGCAAATATACAGACAGATGAAAATTCTGAGAATTGACGGTCTAGATAATGCATATTACAAGATGTACAAGTTTTTGTACTGTATTTTTTTTTCATATTCATACATCTTGAGGTCGAGATGATTAATGAGGGGTTTTTAGCATCAGAATAACATTTTTCGATGGAATTTTGAGATGTAACTTTTTTCTACATTCTAAGGTTACAGCCTTATATGAACTTTTTCTTTAAAAAGGACGAGGTTTACTATTTATATTGCACGCACTACTAAATTTTACCTATAGATGTATTTTGGATGTTGGAAATCTTATGATGGCATGAAAATCTATTTCTATCGCTAGTTACTAAAATTTGAATTCTTAAATTGGTACAAACAAACATATCTATAAACACTTGAAAATCTTGAAATAAGACAGTTTAGATAACTCGTTATAAGATACGCTATTTTTAGAACTTGAAATTATTTTCCTCTTCATATCCCTATAACTCGAGGTAGAGATGACCAATTGGAAGGTTTTCCAATGTTTGAACATTCTCTTGTAGATGATTTTTGAGCGGCATCTTATTTCAATAGTATATGGTTGATAAACATTTGTTTCTAGTATTTTTGTGTCTAAGCATTATTTATTACCCATATTCAATTTGAGATGGATCTGAGACGGGAGACATGTATAAATATGTGCGTCGTCGGACAAACCAACTTCACCCAAATAAGAAAAGTTATGGTTAACTATAGTCTTAGAACTAGAGGATCACCTAGTTTATGTAGAATCAGGTAGTTTGTATCGAACCTGTCCAGTTCATTGTAAAACAATCAAGTGTTTTCCTGGGGCATGTTTTTTTTGCTTTTTTGTTTTTTCCTTCACCATTTAACAGTGTATTTTTTAATTTATATTAGAATCGGTTAGGACTGAATCGAATCCAAGATGGAATGGGTCCCACCCCAACTCCCCCCTAAAACTTCATGAAAATAAATAAATCAAAATATCCCTGAAACTTTCAGGGGTATTTTGATTAATTTATTTTTTGTGGATAATTTGTTAAATATTTTTATTAAGTGTGTCATGATAAAAAGAATGGACGCCTCAAATTTCATATAGTTTGGATTTGTAGAAAAAATATTAAAATTACATTATGAGATGAGGTTATGACCATCAGATCGACTTAGATTCAATCTGGGCCATTGGGCTTATACTATTCCATCAGCTCATAGGTTGAGCTAATAACTTAGCAGTCATAACTCGCGTCTATTAAGAGGAGTGAATTAGTTCAAATAGAAGGCTAAAAAAAGACAAAAGATAAACTCAAAAGGACATGATTGAAAGTAGTGAGAAACTATATGGAGATTTATGGCCTCATTGAGGATATAACCCTTAATAGAGCAGAATAGTGAATCGGGATTCATGTAGCCGACCCCAAATAGTTGGAAAAAGGTTCTGACGATGATGATGATACCATTGAAAACATTTTTCATAGTGGAATTGCAATATCGTAAATAATTAGGCTATTATAAATTTTATCGAGCAGCAATAGCACACTTCCACATAAGCATTTGTACATATACTCCCTTAAGCAAGAAACTTAATTAGGAGTATTTTCTAAAGTTCGAGAATCCATTGTTAATATTTTTGGTTTTTGTAGAATAGTTTATTGTATCTCAAAATGATATAATGTTTTGAGTGGTTTTTCTAAATTTTTTAATTTGTAGAAAAATTAAGTGTAGGTTTTTATTCCCACATTGAAGAGAAGAGTATGATTTGAGTGTTATTTAAATGTGATCTTTTTTATATTTTATGTTCTTAGAACAAAAGTAGGATTGATGGTACATGTGCGGAGTTAAGACCATAAAGCATAAGACAAATACAAATTCAATCCAAAATTTGGGGTCCCAGGAGTATTTATATATCACTTGAGAATCTTTTTTTTTTTTTTTCTTTTTATTATTATTATGGGTCAATGGGAAGAGGATCGCTTATAAAAATTGAGCCTAAGATGTAGCGTTGCAAATTGTCAAGCTATAGCCGGTTAAGCCCATGCTATACTTTTTTGCCTAACCTTTTGGCTTATTATATGATTGTATATAAAGTTTGGCTTAACATTTAATGCAAAGCCGGTTCCTATGAAAGGCATAAAAAATAAAGCACTTAGGTGGTTCATCACAAGGAATAGCATAAAGGAATGAGGATATCCACTCTTATTTTTATATTTTTTTAAAATTTGGCGGAAATTTCTATCCTTGATCGATCCCCTCATGGCGACTATGGCCACTAGAAGACGATCAGAGAAAATTGCCCCATGTGCGTGAGAGAGAGGAGAGATGGACGTAGCTTGAAAATTTCCCCCTCCTTGCGTTTGGGTTCGGTGGAAAAGTTAGAGCACTTTCCTCCCTCACCAATCCCACTTCAAGGAAAGGGCTGACATACTTAGTCGCCACGTTGTGTTTTCGATCCTACCACTATCATCTGACGCTTTCAAAAAACTAACTCTCAAATTAATTTGAAAAGACAGGTAGGAATTTATTTTTTCTATTAAATTACTCAAAAAAAAAAAAACTAATTTATATGAAAATACGAGTAGGGGCTTGTCTATTCAATTGAATTACCCCTAAAAACAAAAAACGCCCTCTTCAAGGTGGGCTAGAGCTGGCTCTCTTTATCAACTGCTCAATTTCATATACGTAGGTTAAGGGTGATTATTATTTGTATATCATGGCTTATACAAGCGTATATTTTTCTTTTATTATGTGGTAGTATATATAATGGTATTATTATTTATTTTGATATATGGAGATCACAATCATCATTGACCATTAAATTTAAAATTAAGTGATTGAATGTGTGTCATTGTTTGGACAAATAATCCAAAATAAAATTTCTCAAATTTTGTAATACACTTTCATTTATTGGATTTCACATCTCGCGACTAAATGATTTACGACATTCTAGTACTAAAAATAAATAGTCTCACAGTATAAAATCCCTTAATATATTCCCAATTTTCATGAAATACGGAGGAAGCATTTCATCACCATCCAACATTGTGCAAATGGTGATAGAGAGGGATTTTATTGATGGGGGAGTGAAACATACCTTGTGTATCTCCACCACCATCCATCTCTTGAGTGGACAGAGATGGACCAAAGGACTACCCACGTTTTCATAATCCGCAAGACGATAATTGAAATTTTGCCAACCCCAAATTCGGAAAAACCTAAAACGTGACGGCGAAAGGTAAAAATGACAGGACATAAGACCATCAGAAGGGACAAAATCGAAATTTAGAAATGACCAGAGTTCGGACTCACCTGTCGTTGTCGAAGTTATGTGGGGCCGCTTCGAATTTTTGAAAATTTCGCGTTGGTCTCCCCACTCTGACCATGTCTGAAATCCTTCAAAATAGGAAGAGGGAGAGCTCTTTCCCGTTCATGGTGGTCTTTGCAAATAGCTTATCCTGAAACCCTAAAAACATATAAAGTCAAATACGATTTAATGGCGGTCTCTGCGTTTTGAAACCCTAGAAAACCAGAGAGGGATCTTGCTTTGACATCGTGGAATCAAGTAGGAAAGAAGCTCTCTTTAACCTTTGAAAACCAACGTGATTTTGTTCATTTATTTATTTTAATGGAATTGCAAACACTGAAGGAAACGCTCTGAAAATTGGGAAACAGGGAGGTCTGGTTTAATGGCGGACGTTGTGAAGACGACATGGCACCAATATCTGTTGCAACTGCAACTTCATCCTTTGAGAACAAAGGTTTCTTGAGAGTTCTTTCTTCTTTTTTTTCATTTCAAAATTCGGATTTTGATGTTTTCTAGATCTTTTGATTTCATTTTTTTAAAATTTTCTGCAGGCTATCACTGCTGGTTGTTTGGCTGGATGTAGTGATTTCATGGCTCAGAAGATCTCTGGTTTAAAGAAGCTTCAGTTGAGGAGGCTTCTTCTTGTAATGGTAGGTTGATGAGTAAAGGCTAAAGCATGATTTGATTGTAATTCATTTTGTTTTTTGTCTTTTCCTTTTCTCTCTATCTTTATAATTTAGAAGCTTTCTATTTGTTCTGTGTTTTTAACTTTATTTTCCTTTTCATCATATGAAAGATTGTTCGTATTTAGAGTTAGTGAGACTATTCTGCGTTATCAGGTTAAAGACTGTAAAATTATCGCTTTTGAGTTGGTTGTTTATTTTATTTGGTTTCAATTTCCTTTCTTTTTTTTGCCAGTTGTTGAAAGGAAGTAATTTTGTACATGTTGAAATCCTTTTTTCTCTTCTAAGTTTCATCCTTTTTGAAATGTAATTTTTGGATAATCTTTATTGAGGAACTTCAAACGCCGCGGCGAATCCTCATGTAGAATGAACATGAAGATCAAAGAGTTTTTCCCTTATTAATAGTTTCTGAATAATTGGTTAACATTATACCTGAATTGGGATTATTTTATCTGACTAGAATTCTATAGAGAATTCTTGGATTCCATGTTTTCTGAACTCTTTCTATTTCTCTTTTGTTAAGACCACTTTTAATCATCATTTATTGGAATTGGATTTTCCTGAATTCAAAAGTGATTGCATTTAATACCTGTTAAATGGTTTTTCATCCAAAGTTGATCAGAACAGGAACTTTTGTGGTATTTGATTTCTCTATTTATTTATTTTTCTTTTCTTTTTTTTTGTTTATTTATTTGGATTTTCCATTGTTTTCCTTGTTCGAGACTTTTACTGGGGCTAATTCTTATTTTATACACCTTTACATATATTTTCATGTTAAGGGGACTATGTTTTGCAGATTTGGTTCTTTTTTGTTGTGCTAAAATAAGTGAAAGGGAAATAAGTGAAAGGGACATGCTTGTAGTAATTCTGTATACTGGACTACAGTCTGACTGTGAGTAAACTGGAATTGTTGGGGAATGAAGCTTGGGCTTGCCCACTCCCTTCCCGTGCTTTCCTTTGAGTTACATCTTTGGCTATCATGAATTGAAAATTTGAAACGAGAAAGTGATTCTGTCTTATACTTTATATGGTTGCCTCCTCCTCTCTTGGTTTTTACATTTCTTTTATATGAAATGGAAGTATAAAAGTTTGTGATTGTGTAAGGAGGCATCAATAAAATTGAACATTCTTCTGTTGTTTTTGTCTACTAGAATTCGAAATTATTTCAAATTGTGGACTCGGGCTCGGACTCACCAGGATTCTGAGCCTGAGCAAATCAGAGAATCCGGCAAGTCATAGTCAGAGACCCTAGGCTTGGGAGCCTTCTCCAATTTTTTGCAGACTCCCTCTGGAATTGCTAGGGTCCCGAAAGCATGCCGATTCAGGCAATTCTGAGTTGGCATGGCAGTTTTTTTATTTCTGGTTTTGAGTATAAGGCATTCTTTTCTGAATGCAGCTATATGGTTTTGCCTATGGTGGACCTTTTGGGCACTTTCTGCATAAGTTGATGGATATCATATTCAAGGGCAAAAAGGACAGTAAGACAACACTCAAGAAGGTACTGGAATGCCATTTATACTCTATCCATAACTTAATTGGATTTTAGCATTTCTTGAGGGTCTTCTTTCAATAAATTTGCCATGTTTCTGTTGATCGTGTTCTGTAAAAACATACTTGTGAGAAGGGCCAACAAGTACATTGGTGATCTGGGGAATGGGTGCAAAAAGGGCTGTCTAAATTGACATGATTTGGAAAATGAGAATTTGAAAATCCATGGAATAATTGTTTGGAAGATCCTTGAGTTTTTATGAACTAAGAATTCTGGGGTTGATCACATCTATAAATCTAGTGGAAATGAAATCATTTACTTTATAGAAAATAAAATTTGGAGGAAATGCAAGGGAATATGCCAGGGTACTTGGCAGATCTTAAAAAAAAGGGGTAGAAATATATGAGAAATGTAGGTGGAATGTCCTTCATGCACGTGTCTGTGTGTCTTTGTTTGCATGTGTGTGTCTTTGTGTACATGTGTGTGTCTCTGTGCATGTGTGCATTAGCATACACGCTTGTATGTCGGGGGTGGGATGGGGGTTGTGCATGTTTCTGATGAAGTCCAGGCAGGTAACATGATAATACCAGTTTCTGTAATGTTTAATCAGAGACATGTTTTCCCCAAAGTATTGAGTTCATGGAACTTTAGTTTCCTTGACCATCTTTCCAAGTGGTTTGAAAGAAATTATCTTCTTTATTCAGTCTCAATCGGATGATTGCTTGTGAAGATGCATGTACTCACATGCATATGAAATTTAAAAGTTATACGATTGTTTTTTTGGACTGTTTGTCACATGGTTTGTACATGAAATACTGATATGACTTTCTAATTCAGGTACTCGTGGAACAGTTAACTTCAAACCCTTGGAACAACTTCGTCTTCATGATGTATTATGGCCTGGTTGTGGAGAGTAAGTCCTTATCAATCAACCCCTATACTTTCCAATGCAAAATCTTACTGTGGATTACAGAAAGGTGTTGCCTGTTTCTTCTGTTGGCTAGTCAAGTTTGTTGAGGGAGAAAATTCTCTTGAACCTTAGAAAACCAGAGTGAGGGGTTGTGCTGGGGCAACGAGAGCTACAAGCAAGAGGTGGGGACTAGCTTAAGAGGTGGTCTGATCTTATATTGGGTTTCATTGTAGACTAGGTTGTTGTGTGCCTGGTTATCCTATGATGGTTTAGCATCTATCTTCTGTTATTAAAAATAGTACCAGTGAATTGGAACATGGATGACAAGGTGCTGATTTGTCCTGAGATTGTTGGAGGAAGAGTTGTTTGCTGTTGTCATTTTAAATTGCACTTGAAAGGGAGGAGAGATTCTTGAGTTTGTTAGAGAAGGATTCCTGATTTTTGTTAGTCCCCCTTGTTGTGCAGATTGATGGATGTGTTTGAGGATATTCTTGAGATTTCTGGTTTCTAGAAGTTCAATATCTATATACGCTTACAGTGAAGAAGCCAATTTAGATGCAGATACCCTAGCTCATTTTTGGTTACTAGGGTGGATTGTGTTCTCAGCTTATTTTTCGCTACAATATGATTGTAACGTTTTCATGTGCTATGTTTCTCATACATGTTTCTATTAATAAATTTTTGTTACTACAACAAACAACTCAAAGGCATTTGAATGAGTTATTCATTCATGCATTTCCCATTTTGATATTTTAAAATTTATTACTTGCTCTATGAGGGATCAAAAGTTTCCAAGTACTCACCTGGAGGAATACCTTCTTCTTTTTTTATTTTGTTGTTGTTTGTCATGAAATACTCTCTCTCTCTCTCTCTCTCTCTCTCTCTCTCTCTCACTCAAGAAGTATCTCACTATCTTATCATCCTCATCATATCTCGCCTCTCACCAAGCTTACAATGTACCATCTTTCTTGACATCTAGGAAGATCATTTGGATTAGTCAAGAATAAAGTAAAGAAAGACTATCCCTCTGTTCAATTGATGTCTTGGAGGGTATGCAGTTCTGATCTTGTCTTTAGCATATTTTCCTGCCAATAATTTCGTATTGCATTGTCTTTTTTAGATATTATATTGAACTGATCATTGTAAACATGCCTTGGCAGTTTTGGCCAATAGTTGGTTGGGTGAACTATACCTACGTGCCCTTACAATTCCGTGTTCTCTTCCACAGCTTTGTTGCGTCATGCTGGTGAGTAGTCTTTAATACACTGTCCTTGTTCCAAATCTAAACCACCCATTTTATCCCTTTTTTATTTTGTTCTGTTTTCTTACAAAAAAAAGTCTCTCTCTCTCTCCCT